TTTACTAAATTACTGCAAGCAAAAAATATAAAAAACTAAAAAATATACCCTTTGTGACCACATAGGTTCCTAATAAATAAAGGTCTACTTGGAAGACTGACTACTAAACTTCCTTCTACATGAAAGTGAGGAGACTGATCACTACTGTTTCCTTCTACATGAAAGTGAGGAGACTGATCACTACTGTTTCCTTCTACATGAAAGTGAGGAGACTGATCACTACAGTTTCCTTCTACATGATAGTGTGCAGACTGATCACTACAGTTTCCTTCTACATGAAAGTGAAGAGACTGACCACTACAGTTTCCTTCTACATGAAAGTGTGAAGACTGATCACTACAGTTTCCTTCTATATGAAAGTGAGGAGACTGATCACTACAGTTTCCTTTTATATAAAGGTGTGAAGATCGACCACTATAGCTCCTGTTGTGCTGAAGGTGTGAAGCTTGACCACCTAGTTTTAGATGAAGGTGTACTTGAAGTTTCACCTCATTTGTCTTTGTTTTACTTAATTTGCACATCCTACCTGGGAATATCATACAATGCGCTTCTATAGTGTTTGAAATTGCTTGTGGTTTTCTTATAACTGTCTTCTAAAGGACAATATAGCACAAGTTGAACTTTCTTTTTCTCACATTTTAATTTACATAAATCATTTATTATTTTAAAAACTTCTAAAAAGTTATTTACATCCAAGTGTAGAAAATCAAATTAGTACCTGTTCTAATAAATGTTGGTTAGCCTCAGTACTTTCCTGATTAACAGACCTACAGATAAAAGATAAATACAAATTGCATTTATGAAGAAACAAATAGACTGATTCATATCTCTCAATGGAATATAAGACCGAGGTATGTAACAGAAAACCTAAACCAATCAACATTCTTGATTATTAGTACAATGTAAGTTTTAAGACGTTTCAAACTTAGTAAATCCTACTTTACTATAGCACTGAATTTCAAGCATACGATTTTAAAGATATCTCAACAAATAACTGCAAGTAGAAAACTTCAAAAATTACCTTACATATATAAACTTTTAAAACCTGAACTTCTCATTTTAAGAAATATCACAATTACACACACTACATACTATACACACATTGTACGAAAACACTACCCTAAACTATACACACACTGTACAAAAAACACTACCCTAACCTATACACACACTGTACAAAAACACTACTCTAAACTATACACACACTTTACGAAAACACTACCCTAAACTATACACACACTGTACAAAAAACACTACCCTAACCTATACACACACTGTACAAAAACACTACTCTAAACTATACACACACTTTACGAAAACACTACCCTAAACTATACACACACTGTACGAAAACACTACCCTAAACTATACACACACTGTACAAAAAACACTACCCTAAACTATACACACACACTATACGAAAACACTACCCTAAACTATACACACACTGTACAAAAACACTACCCTAAACTATACACACACTGTACAAAAAACACTACCCTAAACTATACACACACTGTACAAAACACTACCCTAAACTATACACACACTGTACAAAAAAACACTACCCTAAACTATACACACACTGTACGAAAACACTACCCTAAACTATACACACACTATACGAAAACACTACCCTAAACTACACACATATTGTGCGAAAAAACTACCCTAAACTATACACACATTGTACGAAAACACTACCCTAAACTACACACACACATTGTACAAAAACGCTACCCTAAACAACAGATTCTGAAGGTCTTACTGAAAATAAAACTGAACAATCTTCACAGCTTCTTCTAACATCTCCTCACTTGATCTCTTCTCCATGGATAAAGCCTTTAACTGGTGTTCCAATGCCTTTGAAGTTTTAGGATATTCAGAACATTAATTACCAGTTTTTGTTGTTGTTTTTTTACATGTAAATACCAAACCCTTAACACTCTTTTTTCATAATTTATTATTCCATACACAAAAAAAAAACACTGCTTATAATTTACTTTTTACAAGTCTTGCCAACAACAGCACTGATTGTAGATAAGCCAATGATACATTACAGCAGTGGTTCCCAACCTTTTCTCCACCAAGGACCCTTTTTATTATCATTTTCCCCCCAAGGATCCCATGTTTTTGAAAGATTCTGCCTACCCAACAAACTGTTTTCATTAACTAATAATTAACTCGTTCTCCCACTTTTCACTATCAAATAAAAGACATATATATAACTGAGTGTGCAAGTAAAAAAAAAACATCAGTATTAAAAAACTTGCTTGTTTAATCAGATGGTATTACCTACGCGGATCCCCAGGTTGGGAACCACTGTGTTAGAGCCTCAAAACGATATCAAGTCAAACATCAAACTTACTCTCAAACTTTTACAACAAATTCCAATAGCTTAATAATACATACTTTAATAATTACCTGTGCATAAAGTCCCTCCAACATATAAACTTTGGCAGCAGCTTGGTGATCTCCAAAACAGATGCAGTGATTTAGAATTGTGGTAACATCACAACAATGAAGAAAGGACTAAATGTAAACATTCAAACAATGTCAAAGGATCAATTAATAAAACAATTCTTACTCTCTACATCTATTTGATCACAACAATGAAGAAAGGACTAAATGTAAACATTCAAACAATGTCAAAGGATCAATTAATAAAACAATTCTTACTCTCTACATCTATTTGATCACAACAATGAAGAAAGGACTAAATGTA